GGGAATGCGAGCTGCTTTATGTTATAGGTAATAGTCTGCTTGCATTGGTTCATGATTTTTGTGACTCCTGTAGCTCATATTCTTGAGATTAGGATAAGACTTTATCATTCTCCATTAGACTCTTAAAACAAAATGATGTAAACATATGTAGTATGGGGGCGGAAGTAGGGTGAAGTGTAGCGGTCGCTCAGATGAAAGCGGTAGATAATCGAAAAGGGTAGAAGCAATCAAATTGTGCACGTTAATATTTTCTTTCTCAACCAAAGAAGCAAAAAGCCCTTAGGCCATTCACAGCATTATTGGTAGCTGTATCTGATGTTCAGACACAGTTAACCGAATTACGCAGGCGCATGTACTTGATTCCACAATGACTCAAACTTAAATTATGCACGCATCTCTAAAGAACTTCCACTACCTCTCCCGCTTCTACATAAGCAAAAGTTCCCCTCCAATTATGCTCAAATCGCCGCAATTGTACGTTTTAGACGTTTGGCGTATGCTGTTATTCTTTTTAATGTGATTAATTGGCCTATACACCGTAATTAATCGTAAGGGCTGAATAACAAATAATAAGTAAGAAACAGACAAGATACTTGTAGTTGCCAGTTCGTAACGTAAAGCTCATCAAGTCTTCGAATGAGCCATTGGGTAGGTAAAGGCGAACAATGATGGGATTGTCAATGTTTTAGTTCTTTGCGAGCAATTTCCGAGGGATCTGTACCTCCTTCATATTCGCATAACTGGTGCACCTATAGCAAGTTGCAGCGCACGTGTACCTTACACATTTGTATTTGGTCTAGATGGCGTGATGCGGTCCTTTAATGCAGCCTTCCTCTGCGTCAGTAATATCAGTTGATCATCCTGCTCATCCTCTCCTTGTTTCAAGTCCACATCTTCGATGTCATCATCGGCAAAATCTTCGTTATCCATATCTTGATTATCATGATTTGATATATTGATTTCGTCGTCCGCCATTTTCTCTGTCGCTTGTGATACTGGGTTCAATCCATCAAAGGGGAATTCTTCAACAAATTTGTTGTGGATGGTTTCAATGCGAACATCGAGATTTCAGAAAAAGGGGAGAACAGGACTGAGAAATTTGGATCAAGACTCCGGAATAAGAATGATAACCGTTTTGTGGGCTCTTATCCGCCGCAGGACTTTTTCATGGCAACTCCACCTTCATAAAGAACGGGAAACATGGGTGGACATGGGAGTCAACCAACGGTACGACACATGCGGAGATCGATCCAACGAAGGACTACGACCTGCTTCTAGAGAACTGAGAATCTGAGGAGAAAGTGCCTCAATGCTTCGAACAAGGAACTTGGAACGAATTTCGAAAGCCACCAATAATCTGCTAGAGAGGAGGAGAGCACTAAGACTAGATCTAAGACATCTATCCATATCTCGAGGTAGCCAATACCAGTCGCAGAACAGATTTGTAAGAAGATCTTCGAAATTTTGAGCAGTCGAAATGTTTGGAAGCAGCACAAGGTAAGAGAAGTCTAAAGCAGTATTGCATGAGCCTTCTCGACAACCGTGTTCCTCTGACCAAACGAAGACGGGATTCGCACATCTTCCCGATAGAAGATGGAATGGATCACGGAGGGATTCTACAACGATGTCTTTCGCGCATCAACTCCCATGTCAAACCCAACCCCGTTATCCCCGCTGGAGAATTATTAGCACGAATTCTATCTGCTGAAGTACGCGTCGCAATGCAGACCATGAAGGCAGCCACGGCTCCGGGACCTGACCATGTTTCCAACTTCTTACGAGCTGGAGAACGTCACCTACACGAGATATTTGCGGA